AGGCGAACGAGCACGGCCACAGCATCAAAGGGCCGAGCAAACTAGGCGCAACCCTGTGAGGCCTTGCCAAGAAGCAGGATGCTCACTGCGCGCTGCGCCTCTTCTGCACTCGCCTGCAAGACCAAAGCGATTTGTCAGCCTGCTGGGCAACATGTTCAACCTGACATTTAATGGCTATGGGTCAAAATCCCGTACCCCCAGTGAACATCCCAATGCCCACTAAAAACGACTAAAATAGGTGGTGCAACTACCCCAAAATGGTACCATTGGTGTTGACCCGCAGCCATTTAATTTAAATTTGTCATCAGCCCTAAACCGCCTGTCAGCCTCTACCAGGCTCACTCACACGTGGCGTTTGGCTGCCAAACGCCCTGAGGCTTGCGCCATCACGGCACGCCCCGCGAGATTTCCCTGAGGAGTGCGAAAGAGCGAGGAGGATGTTGCCTGCCAGCCACTAGCGATCTCCATCGGACTGCTTTCCACTTTCAAAACAAGGGATACGGCCGCAGTTTGTATGCTAGGGGGGGGGGCTTCTGAGGCGATAGGAAAACGGCCCTTTATTTCATTTCATGTCATGCATGGTGCTGATGCAAATGTTCGCATACAATGCAAACCACCGAGGGGAAGCAGTTGAGCTCGAAAGCAAATCTTGAAAGGGAAGCAGTTAGCCAATAAGCCAGTTTCGTGCTGCTTGTGAAGCCAACCAAAGAAGAATGCAGTGCAAGCACGCGCGCTACAAAAAGCGGCCCCGCCAACATACCCAGGCATTCTGCGAACGATTGGAGATCCAAGCCCTGATGCAAATCGAATGTCCGCAAGAAACTGTGCAAGTTTAGGGCCTTGAGGCCTCTCCTCTCAACCTTCTGCTTCCGCCAAGGCTTGCTGAGCTAGATGTGGTGACCCAAGCAAGGTGCCTGGCAGGCTCACCCTGAGGCCCCAAAATCGAGGCTAGGACACTTCCCAAGGTCCCAACGTCCCCCAAAAGGAACAGACATAATAATAATAACAAAAAAGCGCAGCCCTTTACAAGGCTTCTGGCAGGCCTCGAATTTTCAACTCCAAAGCTCGGAGCGGCGAAAAATGCTCGGCCTCGCCGGCCTGTCCCAGAAGATCCCGCAGCTGCGCCTCCGAGACCTGGCGCTGGCGACCTTTTTAGCATGGAGTGCATCCGGGGTCACCCGGGAAACCACGTCTTTGGCGTCTTTAAGCCTTGCCTCGTTCTTTTTTGTTTCAGGGTTTTGAACTGGGTGTGAAAAGCCCCTTGCGCCATGGAGATGGAGACCGTGGAGACCTCAATGAAAGTTTGGCAATCTCAAAGCAAGCCCCTGGGCAACGCAGTGTAAGTATAATTTCTATCAATGTGTCTGAGACTCAATATTTTAGCTGGGATCTGCATGATTTGCCGTCCTGCATGGCAAAGCCTGCGTTGAGCTGGTCATGGCTCCTTGGTAGCTGAGATGCTCATAAAGATCTTTTGCCACCTGCCAAAGCCCGCTCTTCAAAAACAACATGAACATGGTACTCGTGCGCCCCATCAACCCAGCCTCATCTGGCAGATTACCTACGAAAAGCCGGCACTCTGCCGCATCGCGGGTGCGGGGCCGCTCTGGCCTGGGTCATCCAAACAAATATTTGGGTGGGGGAAAAAGAAGGGTACCCCCAAAACTGTTGTTTTCCTTTCGGATGCCGTTTGAAGCAACCTTTTTCAAGGGCACCCTCCAACAACACCCGGAGGTTAACTTCCATGCAACGACGAAATGAGAGAGGGACCGGTCCTGCCACAAGTGTAACTCCGAAAGGCTGTGCAAACTATAGCACAGAGAAAATAAACTAAACACAAACGCGCGAAGCACATCATCCATCCAACAATCTAACCCCACCGCATGTTGATCCTCAACTGCGTGCTCTTGCTTGCAAGCGTTGTGTGTGTGTGCGTGTGTTTTGATTTTTCGTTGTGTCGCAATGCACGTCTCGAAGCAACGACGGTCCCCTTAATCAATGAGGTGTAGGTGGTGGTACGTTGCAGCGGTGACGCAAGCTTTGATGAAATCTGGCCGGGAGCTCAAAAGGATAAAACAACAAAAACATAGAAGAGCATTGGAAGATCAAAAGCTGCATCTCAATTCACGCAACTTTCACAATGCTGCGGTTCAGCAGAGTTTTCTCATAAGATTTGGCCTTCCACATGGAATGCATGGCTCAAGGCTTCTCATTTCCGGATTTTTTCAAGTGTAGGTCTCTGACTGTGCCCGGGGCAGCCTGCACGGTAAAAGGAACGCACGTCACAGCAATTCATTGGTTCGTTGTTCAACAGCTTGGCTTTCTTGCTCAGCTGGTTAGTTGGTTGGTTGGCTGGTTGATCAATCGGTAATTGTGTAATTGTTGTGCTTATTTTGCTGCAGGTTGTATTCTGTTCATCCAGCAGTGTCTGCTGCCCTGTCGGCTAACCCTTGCAATGAGTGATTTCGCTGGGTGTTGAAGTTGAACCCTTTCCAAGCTCAGGATATGCGTTTCGCGCGAAAAGCCGTTCATCCTTCGGTAGAGGTTTCTCCGGTCCTACCAGTTGACACGCCCGCCACTTTGCCTGGACTCGCCCGAGCGACTCCATGAGCCGCGCAGAGATGCGGCTCCCGTCCAGCAACCGGCCAGTCAGCTCCTAGCGAAGGTTTGGAAAGGCAGCGGAATGTAGGAACGCCGGACCCAAAAAACAAAAAAAACAAAACGAACACGTGTTTTCGCGCAGTTCTGGCCAAACAAAACGATGATAACCACAATTGCCCAAATCTGCTCACACCAGTTCATGTCCGCCCCGTCCCTGGCTTCAAAAGAGCATGTGGCGCAGTGCTTGGATCGTGACTTGTGCGCACTTATGTGCGCTACAGTTGCTTTGCGCAAGGCAAGCGGACTGTTCCGACACAAGCTATTGGTCTGGACATACTTGCTTGGTCTGAGTTGGCATGCTTACGCGCTTGTTACTTGAATGAGGTGGAAGGCACAAGCAATATATAGTCGCATCACGCATAGAACTTTCCATGTCGGGACGGAAACGCTCCGTAACATCAACGCTAGCTGCCACAGGTTTAGCAGTCAGTTGGGTGTGCTGCAAGCTTCTTGGCCATACTCTGTGCCGTCCGAGCGGTGCCATGCCCAAAAGCATTGAAGTGTTCGGTGTACAACGAATATGATCCCATGAAGCTTGTTTCCGGTGTACAGAGATCCCATGAAGGCCGAGAATATCAACAAAAGCCCTGAAGGTGTCAACTTGGCTACCTGTGTTTTGGCCTCGCGGCTGTTTCATCATGTTTCTTGGTTGGCTGGTGAATCTGGTCAGGCTCAGCAGGCTGAGAGACTGGGATAGGCCATGCAGGGGACCAGCAAGGGCCTGATCAGTGGGAGTTATTGCCAGTTGCTTGTCGCTTTTCTCCAGGACAACCCTGTCTACAGTGGCCTCAGGCTTGTGCCGGCTACTAAAACTTCTGATCAATCCAAGGATGCCCTTCAGTCAGAATGATTTGGACTGCCTGGGGCAGTGGCAAGCGACCCCTCAATGCATGCAATCGGCAGAAAAGCCAGTGCGTGCCAGCACTTGGCAGCCTTACGTGGAGAACTGACTGCACAACCGAATGCCTGCAAACCAAGCAAACAGCTGGGCCTTGCACTAAAACTTGCTTGGGTGGTTTGGTCCGCATCTCTTGTTGGTGTTCTGATCGACTCTATTCCCTGGAAGACTTCGTCTCCGGGCAATGCCCATCCGCGGAAAAGAAACACTTGGCAGAATCTCGCTGCCTGCTGAAAAAGCCGAAAATGGCAGAGACCCCCCACTCAATGAATGCGCCTGCCTGCACAGCTTTTTGCGCCAGCTCCGGTGTCTCAAACTCCACCTGGCCGCCAGGAGCTGCTGCTGGCTTCACCGGAGTCAATGGAAACAGCGCTGCGAGCCCTGCCTTGCCAGTGCCTTTGGACTCGCCTGTCTCACGATTTGTGAACCTCGCCGCGCGGAACCCAACCGGACCCCGGCGCCCTGGATCCCCTCAGTGCAAACGCGACGACCCATGTGAGACAAGGCGATGAGCCGTGTGGCGAGGGGAGACGTGCGTTTGGTTTGGCGAGGGCTGGTTTTTGGCGCTTGTTTTTTTTGTTCTTGGGTCTGTACCTGAGTATGTTTTGGGTTTCTAGTCATTGGTTGGCCGCATTTGCAGCATCACAGGCCTCACCGAGACCTGCCCATTGGATGTTGGTTTGTGATTTTGTTTGCTGTCTGAGATCATGAGGGCGGGTCTGTTGTTGGGTGGGTTAGGGATGCCGGCAACCCCCCAACCAACCAACCAACCAACCAACCAACCCACCCACCCACCCACCCACCCACCCACCCACCCAAGCAAGCAGGCAAGCAAGCAAGCAAGCAAGCAAGCAAGCAAGCAAGCAAGCAAGCAAGCAAGCAAGCAAGCAAGCAAGCATGTCAATGCAAAGCACTCGTGATGCGGCATGGCAAAATGCCAGCGTTGACCTAGGGCTAAGAAACCACCTACGACTAAGAAATCCCCTCCGACTAACGCTGTCCTGCTTCCCCCCTCAGTTTGCCAGCCAACACTGCTTTGAAAGGGCGCCAACTCCCCCCCCCCTGTGCTAAATCCAAGAGAAGCCTTCTGAATTCCCCAAAAACAATACAAATATACATATAATATAAACAAATAGCTAGCGGAAACTGCAAATGTCGTATTCTGCTCTGTTTCACACATCAAGGTTTGACAAGCTCATAAAGGGCCCCAAATAACTCCGTGTCTTCTTTCTGGCACTGACCTTCCGGTGAAAACGCGTGAGCACCTTGGCCTCCGACCGACGGTCCGGCCACACGAGCAATGTCCGTCACCCGCAAAAGTCGGGGACTGCTGGAACCAAAAGCAGCATGCACCCAAGCCGTGCTGTGCCAAGCGGGCACCAGGATACATTTTGACACCTCCTTCCGAATTGGCATTGAAGGACAGTGATTCCTGCCCGTACACACAGCAAAAAATGACCAACTGAGTGCTGTGCTGGTTTGATCATGATCATCTGCACAATTTCGAGGCTTGGTATGGCAATCTCAAACGGCGTGATTGCAGCTGCAAAGCATCACCCTCCCAAAGAGTGCCACATTCGCTGCTATGGTACGAATGTTCAGCCAAGCCGCACCCGCGCACTGTCCACGGCACCCACAGTGATTGAGCAAAAGTCCCGCAAGATCTCGGACGTGGTATCTCAGCAAATCGGACAGATATGATGTTATCCAATGGGGTTGGGATAAAGCACGTGCCAAGCTTATATTATGTGCCAAAGTTTTCGCTTGTTGAGCAGGGCAACAAGCTTGCCGGGTAATCTCTCCCCCCCATCATCAAGGTCCCCCTAATGTTTGTTTTGCGAAACCCCAGTGAGCACAACGCTAAAGTAGAAAAGGCCGGTCCTAAACCAACATGAACAAGCAACTTCTCCCACCGACATCTCTGGTCGTGCTGGACCCCTTGCCCTCAGTCAGCCAGCATTGTGTTTGAAAGAACGCAGGTTGCGGCATCCATTTAAATCCCCCATCTGTGAACTTGATCGGGCCCGCAAAGCGAGAGACAGCTAGTTGAGTTGTTTAAAGCCTTTACATGAAAGCAGCATTCTGGTACATTCTTGGGCTCGCCACCTGTCCGTCCTACACAAAATGAAAACAAACACGGGAGTTGGCAGCCCCAAACTAGAAAAAGGGATCCCCTAATAGTGAGCAGTGCCTCTTTTCAGGACTCTCCAGAGGATTTTTGTTAGGAGGGGGCGTGCTTTATTGCAAGGGGGAGCGCATTCCTCTGATGAAACTCTCGGTGGATCAACCAAGCTGGCCGCTCCCCATGAGGGACACATTGCTTGGGCTCTTCTGGGTTTCTCCTGAGCTTCCCCGTGTGGCCCTTTCAGCCCATCCAATCGGCGCCTGGAGTCAGTCCGGCCACGAAGACTTGGCGTCCGTCCACCTGGCCGAGCTCCAACCGCGCAACCCACCGCCAGCATCCGCCAGCATCCGCCAGCCACGTGAGCCACACTCAGAAACGCTCCGTTCGGAGGATGCCAAGCTGCTGTTGTGATCAGAAAAAGACAGCAATAGTTTTCCCGCACAGCGAAAAGTGCAGCTTTGGACTTGCACAACTCGAAGCTGCTCTGAACCAACTCTTGCCAACATGTCTTGGAAGTAGGTCACGGTCGTGCTTTTTTTTGGGCCCCTGAAATGGTTGTCTGAGTGCAAACTTGCTGCCATCCCCCCCAAAAAGAGTCCAAGTTTAAGCTACAGATTCTAAATCAGCTGACCATTGCGCCACCCATTGCGTATGCTAGTTGGCTCGCTGCGAGGCCGTGCATCCTCAGCCCCTGCATTATGGCCCAATGTGTCCTGCAACATCCTGTGCACTGAATGGCGCATAACATCACAACTCAAGGCATTTTCGGGTTTGCAATTTTAGGCTTAAGTGATGTGATTTGCAATGTTGAAACATTTCCAGCAAGGCGCTGTGAGTGATTGAAGGCTTGGGGCGCACAGGAACGCGAAGAGGTTCACTCGCCTGTGGCTCGCGGCGGGGCTCCGACTGCCGTTCCTGGCCGAATGGGTGACGAACCATCCAACCAGTGCGCAAACAGCAGCTGGCTTGAGCTCTGAAGAAGACCCGCTTCGCAAACCCAATCTTGGCACCGCTGCACTCACACGGACCACCCTGCGAAACGAAGGGATCAAGGCGCATATTCCCTCATACGTTTTCATACGTTGATGAGTGGAAGTGCACTAGGGTGCAACATGTGCGCTTCCCTGGAGTGCAGCCCACCCAAAGAACCCTTCTTAGAAGGTTCTCAAATCCTTGCCTGGTTTCTAGGTTGTTTCCCTGCTCGTCGAAGAATCCCATTCTTTGCAGTAGAACGTGTAGTTATCTCACTTAGCACTTCCCGCCAAACGCAACAACATCTTCTAGGCTCGGAAAAGCTATCGACAATGGAGCCGGGTGCCTTTCAATCAGCGCGGCCGCAAATCCCAGCGAAGTTCGAACCAACAGAAAACTTCCATGCACCCCTCCCGCCTGGCCGAAGGGCTCCACGCTAAGCTTGCGGCCCTTGTAATCCTGCGAAGCACGGGCTTTCTTTGCGGGGCATGTGAGCAAACAAGAAAGGACAAACTCCTTCTGGGCATTTCATGTGTGCTTTGACTTGGCATTGCGGTCGTGCTCAAGTGAAGGGGCTCTGGCCTCGAAATCCGAACGACGCCTAGCATTGCTAGCTTGCAGCAGCCTGTGAGTTACGTGCCGGAGAAAGGGACTGGGAAAAACCACAGGTGTCTGTCCTTCCCCGCGAGCTGCTTCAGAGCCTCTGCTGCCTGCTCATCAGTCTCAAACTCCTCAGACGGAGCCCAGCCATATCAAGCGAAAAGGACGATGACAGTTCTCAAGCGGGCCAAACTCAGACACCACCTAGGCCCTTGCCCAAGGTTGCCCATCCCACAAGGCAGCCCTCTGCTTAGCAATAATGCAAATCTAACAGGCAAATTGCATCAACTGGGCATCTGGACAGCCACGTCATGTGCCTTCCCTCATACATATGATCCCCAACTGCTTGCAATAGGCAATTTCCTCAGATTGGAAACAGTGCACGCACGTTTTGCCCATGTGGTCCACCCTTCTCATCTACGAGAAGACTGCACCTGTAGCGCACACGCCCCTCCAACACACCGGCTCGCCTTTGTAGAAGAAGCTATGAGGAGCAGAAAGCCAAGTCACATAAACAGAACTTTTGGCTTTCCCTTTCTGTCGGCGAGCGGTCGTTTTGTGCAACCTTCGGCGCAAAATGCGAAGACCTCGAGTGCGAAGACTTCAACCGGTCTTATTGTTTCACGGCATGGCGCCATATCACAAGCTGATACATGCGCAGCCAAAAGTACTCTTCTTATCAACAACAGGGAGTGTTGCCGGCGGTTGAGGCTGTGTTTGACGGTTTGTTGCTTCAGCACGGCCCATACGCACAGCGGAATCACGTTGCTTTTTGGCCTCTGCATGTTTATGTGTTTCCTGCAACACCTTGTGGCAGTTCAAAAATGCATCACCCAGCGTGAGGGAAAAACAAAACAAAAAAACATACTTTAGAGCCTCCGGCTCAGTCCGCCGACACTGTCCGCTCCCTTTTCTCCTTCTTCCTCTCTCCCTTGTCTCCCTCGTGTGTTCTGTCGTCCTCTCTCCCTCCCTCTGCTCCCCATCCTCCCCATCCCCCCCAGTCTCTCTCTCCTCAATCCCTCTCTCTCTCTCTCTCTCTCTCTCTCTTTTTCTCTCTGTTTCTCTGTCTCTTTCTGTCTCCCTGTCTCCTTCCTGTCCACGCCCCTCTACAGAAAAAGGGTACCCTAATTCGAACCTCTCTACTCTCTCACTTTCTCGCTCTTTCTCCCTGTCTCTCGCTCTCTCTCTCTCTCTCTCCCGCTCTCTCCCTGTCTCTCTCTCTCTCTCTCTCTGTCTTGTTGTTGTTGTTGCTGCTGTTGCTGATGTTGCTGTTGTTGCTGTTGTTGTTGCTGTTGTTTTTGCTGCTGTTTGTTGTTGTTGTTGCTGTTGTAGCTGTTGCTGTTGCTGTTGCTGTTGTGGTCGTTTGGTCAGTCATGGCAGCATCAAAGCAGCCTGTAGTCTGTGCTACGCATCTCGTCCAAAAAGTTTGAATTCAACACACCTACTGAGAAGCCATATTCAAGAAAGGGCCGGCTCAAATCATGTCAAGCCGCCACAAGCACCTGATCTGCAGGTAGCATCCCCAAACTGCCAGAGAGAACTAGCAACACCAAAAAATCACTGACCCCAAACCAACCACCTCGCACATTCCCAAACAAAAATATTTCACATAAACAGTACCAGGATTCCCCCGCAATTGGCGGGTTCAAGCCCAAGGTCCCAACACTTTGGACCCTCTGGACGTAGCCGGGTCCAAGGTCAAGCAAGGTGAATTCGCATGGCTAAGCCCAGAAACACACCTCCCGCCCCCAACGAATGACACATGGCAAATAACTGGATGCGGGGCGCCAGCTTCCCACAGTTCCGGCTGCGGCCGCTCTGGTCCCTGAAGACCCGAGCGAAGGCTACGGCGCCAATGGGCGCCGCCAGTTCCAAGAGAGAGCCTGCACGTCGCTATTCACGGCCGCTTGAAGTTTTCTCAGCGTCGCTATTCGCAAAATCAACAGCCCTTGCAGAAGGATCGCTTGTGTTGAACATGTGTTGCCACCGTGGCTGGCTGGCCTGAGGCTACATTAGCTTCACCTGAATCATGATCACAGGAGTCCTTGAAGCATCAAACTGAGGTGCAGTAACCCACTGGTATGTATTGAAATGGGAAAATAAAACAACAGAACATCCAACAAGTGCTTTGGGGGCAGGATAGGCCCTGGGACAGCCGTTGCCCGGGTTGGCACGCTAACGCTTTGCCCAGTCTCCTTCGTCCATCTCTGCCGATAAGCCGCCCACAAAAACGGTCCGCTGCACGTTTGGAGCCTGAGAATGCTCGACGACTCATGATCGCGGGTCAAGAGCTGAAGGCTTGAGGGCGGGGCGTCGCAATTGAGGACCTGTGGGCCTTTCGTTGTTGTTTTTGTTTCTGCGTTGTTTTTGTTGGTGGTGGAGGTGGTGATGTTTGGTGTTGGTGTTGGGGTAGACAACACTTCCAAACGCTGAAAAAAATCACTTCAGAACACTGAGCACTCAAAGGGTGGCAAAACCCCGTCATATAAAAATGATCACTTCCGAACGCAGGGGTCCCAGCCAAGGATCACTTCCGAACGCAGGCAGGCATCCCAGTCAAGGTGTGCAAAATCTAGTGGTTCTGGGGGGGTGGGGGGGGATGGTAAGCACACCCGTTCAACTGAACCAGCCCAGCCTGCTCTGCAACCAAATGTGCAAATTCATCTGGTTCTGTGGGTGGGGGGTGGGGTGGAAGGACACCCGCTGAACTGCTTCATCCCAGCCAGGGTGTGCAAAATCCAATCAATTTGTTCTGGGGGGGATGGTAAGCACACCCGCTCAACTGAACCAGCCCAGCCTGCTCTGCAACCGAATGTGCAAATTTGGTGGGGTGGGGTGGGGTGGGGCGGGGGCATGATAAGCACACCCGCCCAACTGCTTCATCCCAGCCAGGGTGTGCAAAATCTAATCTATTTGTTCTGGTGGGGGGGGATGATAAGCACACCTGCAAAAAGGGGTGCGGGGGGCATGGTGAACTGGAAGCAGTTCATCAGGGTGTGCAAAATCCAATCAATTTATTCTGGAGTTGGGGGGATGATAAGCAGTCACACCCGCGGTGAGTGCGTCGCTCCTGAACGTTGGGATTCGGAACGCTCATTAAAAATTGCTTCGGAACGCCGGAAAACGTACTAGTCGCTTAGGAGCGCTGAAAGCACGGCCACATGCCACGCGCTGCACCGAGACACCAGCGAGCGCTTCGCTCTTGAACGCTGAACCGGCACCCATGCGTCCACGCGCTTTCATAGCAGCTTGCAGAGCCTGGCATTTGGCATGTGCTAGAGACTTGCCATCGTTGACCTAGAGAAAACAAAGTTTCGGGTATGCTTGGGAGAGAGGGACCCACCAGGTGTTTTCTTCGGAAACCGCACGTTCGCAGCAGCTTGCAGGGCCTGTGCGGAGAATTGCCCTCATGAGAGCTCAGTTGGGGTGTTGGTGCTTGGTGTTGTTGTTGGTGGCGGTGTTGGTGTTGGTGTTGTTGGTGTTGGTGTTGGTGTTGGTGTTGGTGATGTTGTTGTTGTTGTTGCTACTGTTGCTGTTGCTGCTGTTGCTGTTGTTGCCATTGTTGCTATTATTACTATTACTGCTGTTGCTGTCGCTGTTGCTGCTACTACTGGCGCTGCTGCTGTTGCAGTTGCAGTTGCAGTTGCTGTTGCTGTTGTCGTCGTCGTTGTCGTTGTTGTTGTTGTCGTCGTCGTTGATATTGTTATTGTTATGGTTATGGTTATGGTTATGGTTGCGGTTGCGGTTGTGGTTGTGGCGGTGGTCGTGGTCGTCGTGGTCGTGGTCGTGGTCGTGGTTGCTGTTGCTGCTGCTGTGGTTGCTGCTGCTGCTGCAGCTGTTGTTGCTGTTTTTGCTGTTGTTGCTGTTGCTGCTGCTGCTGTTGCTGTTGCTGTTGCGGTTGCGGTTGCGGTTGCGGTTGCTGTTGCTGTTGCTGTTGCTGTTGCTTTTGTTGTTGTTATTGCTCTTGTTCTTGTTCTTGTTCTTGCTCTTCTTCTTTGTTCTTCTTCTTCTTGTTGTTGTTGCTGTTGTTGACTGAATGTTGTTGTTTGATTATTGTTGTTTGGTTGTTGTTGTTTGATTGTTGTTGTTTGATTGTTGTTGATTGTTTGTTGTTGTTTGGTTGTTGTTGTTCGACTGTTGTTGTTTGATTGTTGTTTGATTGTTGTTGTTTGATTGTTGTTGTTTGATTGTTGTTGTTTGATTGTTGTTGGTGTTGTTGTTGTTGTTGTTGCTGCTGTTGCTGTTGCTGTTGCTGTTGTTTGGTTGTTGTTGTTGTTGTTGTTGCTGTTGTTGTTTGGTTGTGGTTGTGGTTGTGGTTGTGGTTGTGGTTGTGGTTGTTGTTGTTGTTGCTGTTGTTGGTGTTGGTGTTGGTGTTGGTGCTGGTGCTGGTGCTGGTGCTGTTGCTGTTTCTGTTGCTGCTGCTGCTGTTGCTGTTGCTGTTGCTGTTGCTGTTGCTGTTGCTGTTGCTGTTGCTGTTGCTGTTGCTGTTGCTGCTGTTGTTGTTGTTGCTGCTGCTGCTGTTGTTGTTGTTGTTGTTGTTGTTGTTGTTGTTGTTGTTGTTGTTGTTGTTGTTGTTGTTGTTGTTGTTGTTGTTGTTGTTGTTGTTGTTGTTGTGCTTGTGGTTGTTGTTTGCTCTTGCGGTTGCTGCTGCTGATGCGGTTGTTGCTGTTGTTGTTGCTGCGGTTGTCATTGAACTTGATGGTGCTGTTGCTATTGTTATTAATAGTACTATTTAAATTATTATTCTTGTTGTTGCTGTTGTCGTCGCAGTCGTTGTTGTTGTTGTTGTTGTTGCTTTTGTTTTTGTTGTCGTTGTGTTGTCGTTGTCGGGGTCGCTGTCGTTGTCAGTGTTGTTGTCTTGTTGTTGTTGCTGTTGCTGTTGCTGTTATTGGTGGCGTTGGTGTTCATGTTGGAGTTGTTGTTGTTGGTGGTGCTGGTTGTGGTGATGGTGTTGGTGTTGTCGTTAACGTTGTGGTTGTAGTTGTGGCTGTTGTTGTGTATGCTGTTGCTGATGCTGTTGCTGTCGCTGGTTTTTCTTTTTCTCTTGTTGTTGTCGTTGTTGTTGTTGATGTTGTTGTTGGTGCTGTTGCTGTTGCCGTTGCTGTTATTGTTGTTGTTGCTGCTGTTGTCGTCGTCGTCGCCGTCGTTGTTGTTTTTGCTGTTGCTGCAGCTGTTGCCGCTGTTGTTGTTGGTGGTGGTGGTGGTCTTGTTGTTGTTGCTGCTGCTGTTATTGCTGCTGCTGCTGCTGCTGCTGCTGCTGCTGTTGTTGTTACGGTCGTCGTCGTCGTCGTCGTTGTTGGTGGTGTCAATGTTGTTGCTGGTGCTGTTGTTGTCGTTGTTGCTGGTGGTGGTGCTGGTGCTGTTGCTGCTGTTGTTGTTGTTGTTGTTGTTGCGCTTGTGGTTGTTGTTGTGCCTGTGGTTGTTGTTGCTCTTGCGGTTGCTGCTGCTGATGCGGTTGTTGCTGTTGTTGTTGCTGCGGTTGCCGTTGAAATTGATGGTGCTGTTGTTATTGTTGTTAATAGTATTATTAATATTGCTATTGTTGCTGTTGCTGGTGCTGTTGCTGTTGCTGCTGCTGCTGCTGTTGTTGTTGTTGGTGGTGGTGTTGTTGTTGTTGCTGTTGCTGTTGCTGTTGCTGTTGTTGTTGCTGCTGTTGTTGTTGTTGTTGTTGCTGTTGTTGTTGTGCTTGTTGCTCTTGCGGTTGCTGCTGCTGATGCGGTTGTTGATGTTGTTGTTGCTGCGGTTGCCTTTGGAATTGATGGTGCTGTTGTTGTTGTTATTAACAGTATTATGTAAATTACTTGTAAATTATTATTATTATTGTTGTTGTTGCTGTTGCTGTTGTTGTTGTTGTTGTTGTTGTTGTTGTTGTTGTTGTGGCTTTGGTTTTTTTGTTGTCGTTGTGTTGTCGTTGTCGGGGTCGCTGTCGTTGTCATTGTTGTTGTCTTGTTGTTGTTGCTGTTGCTGCTGCTGTTATTGGTGGCGTTGGTGTTCATGTTGGAGTTGTTGTTGTTGGTGGTGCTGGTTGTGGTGTTAGTGTTGGTGTTGTCGTTGACGTTGTGGTTGTAGTTGTGGCTGTTGTTGCGTATGCTGTTGCTGATGCTGTTGCTGTCGCTGGTTTTTCTTTTGTTGTTGTCGTTGTTGTTGTTGATGTTGTTGTTGGTGCTGTTGCTGTTGCCGTTGCTGTTGTTGTTGTTGTTGCTGTTGTCGTCGTCGTCGCCGTCGTTGTTGTTTTTGCTGTTGCTGCCGCTGTTGCCGCTGTTGTTGTTGGTGGTGGTGGTGGTCTTGTTGTTGTTGTTGCCGCTGCTGTTATTGCTGCTGCTGCTGCTGTTGTTGTTACGGTCGTCGTCGTCGTCGTCGTTGTTGGTGGTGTCGCTGTTGTTGTTGGTGCTGTTGTTGTCGTTGTTGGTGGTGGTGCTGGTGCTGGCGTTGGTGTTGGTGTTGAAGTTGTTGGTGTGGTTGGTGTTGATGTTGTCGGTGTTGTTAGTGTTGTTGCTGTTGTTGCTGCTGCTGTTGCTGTTGTACTGCTGCTGGTGTGGTTGTGCGTGTCGTTGTTGCTGTGGTTGTGTTTGCGGTTGCGGTTGTCGCTCCTGCTAACTCCGACGCTGCTTGCTGCTTGCTGGCTGCTTGGGGTTGCTTGTTGGGGTTGCAGTTGTTGTTGGCGGTGGCGGCGGCGGCGGTGGCGGCAGCGGCGGCAGCGCTGGGGCTGTTGGTGTGGGTGTTGGCGCGTTTCTTCTTCTTCTGGCAGCGGCTGCTCTCGTTAACGCCAAAATGAAAAACACCCCAGGCAAGGAACTGTCAGGCTGCAGCAATTTCTTCGCAGCATCCTGTCAAAGGCTTTATGGGGGAGATCTGCTTGGAGAGCGTCCCAGGCGTCCCAATCTAAGAACGTCTGGCCGGCAGAAGTTTGTTGCGCGCACACCCCTTTTTACACAAACAGAAAACACACGCGATGGCTGCCACGGACACTTGCCCAAAAGAGACGCGGTGCAATCACCAAGTGCAACCCAGCGTGGTTTCACACCCCATGGAGCCGCACACCGCTCACCTGAAAAGATTTGGATCTCACCCCGCAAGCAAACCAGCATGACATACCACATCCAAAAAAAGTGTGTTTGTTTATGTTGCCACTGCCTTGTCCGGCTGGTTCGCGCCTATGTGTTTTTACATTAGCTTCTACTTGTCTGAGCTAGGCTGCGAGCTTAAAATCCGCCGACCCCTTCTCCTCAAAGGGGAGGCGCACGGGAAGGGTGGTTGCAGTACAAGCGCATGGATTAATCTTTGAGGCAAGCATATGACTACTGGCATCATACGGATGCCCATCATCATCATCATCATCATCATCGATATGATCCTTCATCATTCGTATCGTCAACATCATCATCATCATTTCTATATCCTTCAACATCATCATCTCTTATTAGCCGGCACTGGTGGTGCCGAGGATGTCATCATCATCTCTTATTAGGCAGCACTGGTGATGCAAAGGGTGTTATGATGATAGTTGTCATCATAATCATCATCATGATCATCCTTATTATAATGTCATCGCTCTTCTCACCATCATCATGATGATCATCATCATCTCATTCTTATTCTTATTCTTATATGCATTTCAAAAGTAACGTTAGGCCCCATTGGCAATGCAGAGGATGCCACGATGATAGTTATCATCACAGTCCTCATCCTTGTCATCACTATCATCATGGTCATCATCATCTCTTGTTGGCCGGCACTGATGATGCCGAGGATGCTACGATGATAGTTATCATCACAGTCCTCATCCTTGTCATCAGTATCACCACGGTCATCACCATCTCTTATTAGGCAGCACTGGTGATGCAAAGGGTGTTACGATGATAGTTATCATCATAATCATCATCATGATCATCCTTATTATGATGTCATCGCTCTTCTCATCATCATCATCATGATCATCATCATCTCATTCTTGTTCTTATTCTTATATGCATTTCAAAAAAAAAGGTTAGACCCCATTGGCAATGCAGAGGATGCTACGACGACACTTATCATCACAGTCCTCATCCTCATCATCACTATCATCATGGTTATCATCATCTCTTATTAGCCGGCACTGGTGGTGCCGAGGATGTCATCATCATCTCTTATTAGGCAGCACTGGCGATGCAAAGGGTGTTATGATGATAGTTAGCATCATAATCATCATCATGATCATCCTTATTATGATGTCACCGCTCTTCTCATCATAATCATGGTGATCATCATCATCTCATTGTTATTCGTATTCTTATATATGTCAAAAGTAACGTTAGACCCCATTGGCAATGCAGAGGATGCTACGATGATAGTTATCATCACAGTCCTCATCCTTATCATCACTATCATCATGGTCATCATCATCTCTTGTTAGCCGGCACTGATGATGCCGAGGATGCTACGATGATATATATCATCACAGCCCTCATCTTTGTATATAGAAGAAAGATAGAAGAAAGAGATGATGATAATGATGACAATCATGATGACAATGATGAAGGCGATGACTATGATAACAATCATCATGAAGATGATAAGGATGATGACTCTTATGATAACTATCATCGTAACATCCTCTGCATTACCAAAGCTGTGGATGACTGTCATGATAACTATCATCGTAGCATCCTCTGCATTACCAAGGATGCCTAACGCCACAATTGAAATGTATATAGAAGTATAGAAGAAAGATAGAAGAAGAGATGATGTGACAATCGATGATGACAATGATGATGACGATGATGAAGGCGATGACTATGATGACAATCATCATGAAGATGATAAGGATGATCTTATGATAACTATCATCGTAGCATCTTCTGCATTGCCAAAGGTTCCTAACGCCACATTTGAAATATGAAGTTATTATTTTATTATTATTTGTTTACTCAGGCTGGTTAAAAGTGTGTGTTTGTCATCAGAGTTTTATATGATTTCATTGAGGGATTTGCTCAAGCTGGAGCCAAGAGATGTCATGCCTAACGCCACGATTGAAATGTATATAGAAGAAAAATAGAAGAAACAGATGATGATGATGATGACACTCATGATGACGATGATGCAGGCGATGACTATGATGACAATCATCATGAAGATGATAAGGATGATGATAGAAGAAAATCATGATGACGATGATGAAGGCGATAACTAGGATGACAATCATCATGAAGATGATAAGGATGATGATTCTTATGATAACTATCATCGTAGCATCCTCTGCATTACCAAAGCTGCGGATGACTGTCATGATAACTATCATCGTAGCATCCTCTGCATTACCAAGGATGCCTAATACCGCATTTGAAATGATAGAAGAATATCATGAAAACGACGATGAAGGCGATGACTATGATGACAATCATCATGAAGATGATGAGGATGATGACTCTTGTGATAACTATCATCGTAGCATTTTTTGCATTACCAAAGCTGCGGATGACTATCATGATCACTATCATTGTAGCATCCTCTGCATTACCAAGGGTGCCTAGCGATGTTGATGATCATGACTACGCATCATTATCGAAACGGCACCTCGCCTCAGATGCCATTTGTGTCTTTGAGATTTGGAGTCCTGCCTTGATGATAATCATCACTACGCATCATTCGCAGCATCTCTGGCAATCATGAGGATAATCATCACTACGCATCCCCAGCATCTCCAGCAGCGATGATCATAATCATGACTACGCATCACTGTCGAAACGGCACCTCGCCTCAGATGCCATTTGGGTCAAAAAGAAACCAAAGAAACCAAAACCAAGGGCACTGTTTTTGGTTGCTCGAAAACCACAACTAAATCCAGGGGTCGGCGGCACTGGGCGGCAGCCCTTAAATTTGTTTGAGCCGTGTCCACAAACGCATGGCACACCACAATTCACAAGCATGTGCTGCAAAGTTGCCAAGTTCTTTGTGCATAGCTACCCCTTTGTTCTCTTTATCTTGCTTCTTCTCTTTCCCTTGCTCTTTCTTTTCTCTTTCGCTTGCGCTGTCTCCTTCCTTCTCCCTTTCTCTTTCTCTGTTGCGCCTGTCACGAAATCTGTTTCTGAAAGCGCCGCGCCTGCCACAAGCAAGACCTGCGCCTGACCCTCTGGAAGTACTGTGCCTGCTACGAAATCTGCACCTAACCTTGCAAAAGTGCTGCGCCTGCCACGAAGCCGTGCAAAAAAGGTGGTTTAGCCAGCCAATTTAGCGAGGTCTAAACGAGATCTTAACGAGGTGTGAACAAGGTCCAGAGACAGCAGTGTGCTGTTGCGTTTTGTGACGGGAATGGGTCTCGCCCGCACACCCCCAAAGAGCATCCGGCCCCCCATATGGGCATCGTTGGACCCCTAAGATGTCCGTCTGGGCAGCGGAAGGCTGCCGATCCGTGGCCATGGGCTCCACACTCACAGCGCAGCCGCCCAGGGTCTGCGGGCACGTTCCGTGGGCCCAGAAAAACCAAACTGCCCACTGCAATCAGTGCAGAACGCACATTTCCAGAGCTGGAACCAATGGAAAGATGGGCGCAGCGATTCTAATTGAGGTCTGGAGCGTGAAGCAAAAACGACCCACTTGCTGAGTCATTGCGGAAGAAAGGATGACACGAAATGACCCTGAGTTGTTCCCCCTTCCTTGTTGTAAATAACATTTTCACGGCTTCACGTGCCTTGCCGTTCAGTTGGTGCACTGCTTCTAGTGCTTGCTCTGCGCTGGAAAACTCCACCTTGCCACAGCCTCTGGATTGACCTGTCCTTAGTCACGGCAGCTGAAGCACGGTCAGTTGGTTTCAGACTACTTTGTCACTCCGATGCAAGCTCAACAGTTGATTCCGACAGGCCAACAGCTTACCATAATGAGGCTTCCAAACCAATTAAAGAAAATACAGCACTAGTGCATCAACCAACACGATTTCACCATGGCTGGCATCGCGTGTCCAACCCGACTGTGAGCACCCAGAAGGATTTCACCAAGCCCACGCAGATCGCATCCGATGGTTCCTGTGCCCAAGGGTCCCTTACGAAGCGAATTTAACAAACAGACTTTGCGTGTTTGAGGTCCGTATAAGCCGCCTGCTTCCCCAACAGCTTTGCCACATGCTAACATTGCAAGCCAGGATGCTGACGGTCGATGAAGACACGCGCAAAGACTACCTCACCTCAGCATGAGATTGCATGACAATCGCGACCGCTCGTCTCAGCCAAGGGTGCTCTACAACCTCTCAAAGCAGCCCATCAAATAGACAGCGATTGTCCAATTAAAATCTGTTCCGGCGAGTGCCGGCAAATGTCCATGCCATGTTCCCTTCAATTGCCCCTATGACTTGGGCCCACGCAGTTCCCCAACCACCGCATCACCAGGCTCAAGCGGGAGTTTTCAACCAAAGGACCCGAAAAGGCAAAAAAAACACCATCACAAGCCCACGACTTTTTGCAAGCGCAGCCATGGTTGCCATCATGTCTCGCCGTTTTGCTGGGGCCCACTCCCTGGTTGCCAACCCCCCACTCCGATCCCTTTTCCCCCCCCAGAGTCCAACCCATAGACAGCCAGGAGGCCCACCTGCGAAGCAAAGGCCTGCCTTCGGAGACGGGGTTGAACGAAAAGGGCGGCGTTTCTGAAAGCAACGGCCAATGTGGCTGTGGGTCAAAACCCTGAAATTCTGGTGAACATCAAAATAGGTGGTACATTGCGTGCATCCGCCCCAAAATGGAGGCATAGGTTATGACCCATGGCCATGTGCACCAAAACAGGCCTACATCCTTTCTATATGGCTGGGGCTTCTTTCGAACACTCCAACTAACAGAGAGCAACTTGCACCCCTGGTAGAACATGCATGAGGCTCAATGTCTGCCACTCCCTTCCAAGAGGGCCGAATCACCCGGGCATGCGTCAAACTAGTCACTTCGACCTATTCATCAATCTCACCCTATTCATAAATATGATACTGTTCAGACCCAACAAATCTAGTAGCAAATTAGAATAAGGCAGTACTAGACCCACTCTAAACTCCAAGACACCAACTTCAGTCGTAGTAGGGCTCCCCGACAGCTCCCCAAAGCAAAACAATTTTGTAAAGTAAGATCGAATGTTACATTGTATATTTGATTTGTGCGAAGTTAAAATGATAAGTCCTTTACATTCCTTTCTCAGCAGATTCCCATTTTGACAGCTTTCGTGCCCTGCAAAGGGGGGACTCCATTTGGACGACTCCCTGCAACCCTCTAAGTACCCTGCTAATAAACATTCATCAGCGCACAGAGGACATTTCCAGGGGGCGGCACCTATTATCAAGGGGAAGTGATCACTGCAAGCAGAACGTGTCAAGCAGCGCGCGGAGGTCATGATGCCAGTTGCTCGAATCGCTGATTTGTTCGAATCGTTCGGAAGCCACTCGATTCTCACACGCTGCTAATTGGCTAGTACCAGCCAAAGCGGCCGTGCAAAATGTAGCCGTGCTAACACCCAACTCGCGAACCCTGAGTCAACAGGCCAAAAGCAGCGGATTGGACCAAGTGGCAGGTCTTCCCTGGTCAACTCAGGTGCCAAATTGCCCACGAAGACCGCGCAGCCGGCAGTGTCCCGACGCTGCCTCAGCGCGGAACCAACGTCCCTTACGAGGTCTTTGGAGGCTCTGCCATGGCTTGGTATCCTAAACTGCTCAGAGTCGAAACCAAAGGCCTAGCCGGCGAGGCTGCAAGCTAGGCGTCTCAATTCCCAGGGATTCCTTGACTTTCCTGGGCAAGCCGGATGCAAACTCGCAGAAAGCATAGCAGGTTGCAACACCTGGGCAGGCCATTCCTCGAAAACTTGTGGAGGTAGCACTATGAGTAGCATTACTTCGCCATACTTGGTCGCAGTGATGTTCCGTGGCACTTCCACTTGAACTCAGTTCAGCAGGCTGCTTTCACTGGACATGAGATTGAAAAACCTGGCCTGTGCTTTCAAATGAGCTGCTGCAAAGCTAAAGGAGGACTCAATTTCATTGAGCCTTAAACTTACCTGGGCAATACATTGCGAGAAGGCGTTGGTGAATGGGTCGAATTGCTGGGTTCACGGCTGGCAGCTGGGCAAGCCTGCACCAGCAAAAGGCCCTGATCAACTCTGGATGCTCAACCTTTCTAATGTTCGCCTGGGCTTCCTGCGAGGTAGTTGAGTATAGTTTGTGTTCAAAAGAATGGCTAGGTTCAAGTTGGTTTTCCCGCTCACGGCAACAAACGACCCAAGTCCCATCTATGCCAAGACTCCAAAAGTGGCTGGGCACGTCTGCCAGCGACCGCACAGTGATTTGGCAGCCGTCCAAGGTTGTGCCATTTAAGTCACGAATGGCCCGGCGGGCAGTTTCCTCACAATCGAAGTCAACCTTCCCGGTGCCATTGGAGCTGCCATTGTCCTCAAAACGCAAAGCTCCATCTTTTGCTAAATCGGAGGTTTGGATTGGTGGCTTTGGAATTGAACCGCTGACCATTTATACAACCAAACCAAAAGGGAAAGCGGCCCTAAAAATCACACAACCAAAAGAAAGCAAAGCATCACACGGAGGGAGGCTGAAAACTCAAGACCGCCATTGCAATAAGTTGTCAGGGCACTCGGCGAATCAACACATGCAGCGCAGACGTGCCTCTTGAAGCACGTCAGGCCGCTTAAAGACCGGAAGTTCTGGCTCTCGGTTACCCATGCTTGACCAGCCCGAACGTTGCAAGAGGAAAGGTCTTCAAACCAAGGGGCGGGGTCCATATACACAGTGGCATAGCGTACCTCTCCCACCGTTTGGCAGTACTCACCCAACGTCTGCGGCAATGTATCCAGGCTGAGACCTGCGGGGCCGAGCTCGGCCCGTCCCAGTTCGCAAAAACTGGGAGCGCGGATGCCAAGGCCCAGGGCAAAGCTTTTTTCACGTTGAATCCGCCAAGGTTTGAACACGAGAATCGGGCAGGTTGACCACTCAACTGACACAAGGTTGAGACAGGGTGTCAGCTTGTCAAGAATTGGAAACGCTGAATCTACCAGGCTGACACTGCACAGGAAGTCAATTGACAACTCAGCCTCAAATCGATGGATGTTGGCCTGAAACGAAGATCTTGGCGCTGAGGTCCCGAGGCCGCCGCCTCGGGCAAACCCGCCACTTTGCGGAGTGGGGCAGCTGCACGGCGTAAATTTCCGGAGACTCGAGACACAAGAGCCCCCGGCTGAGGCAGACATGTTGAGACGTAGTGAAGTATCAGTCGAGAAGCACGTTTGCACTGCCTGACCGGCCTGAAGTCAACACAACGACTAGCACAAGGCAGCACTCGAATTTGCCCAGGAGGACGACAAAAAACCAGTCCGTGACAGCCTTGACATCTGGCCCACAGGTTGGCAATTCAATCGTTTCGAGTGGTACGCTTTTGAGTTTTTTTGGGGGAGCACACGCAGGCACTGCGCCCAACACGAATGGAAGCTAAATGACAGTTTGGTGACCAAATGCGAGCAAAGCACGGGATCTGCCGAACGGGCGCTGGGACTGGAGCTTGCCTCACCTGGCCGGTGGCATCTGGTGCACTGAGTTGGTGCAGCGTTGGCGCAAACATGGGTTCTCAGAATGATGTTTTTTGCTGTTTTTTCCAGGGGATGGCTGTTTCGCGGATAGCCAAAACAAACCCATTAAAAAAAAAAAAAAAACTCTTTGCAACTGAAGAAGAGGTACCCCAGGAAATGCATGGATTGTTCTGCGTCCATGGCCGGGAAGAATCACAACAACAGCACCCGCTACGCCTCTGGAGGTCTGGCTCTGGGCGTGTCCTGCCACGGGAATCTGTGCAGGGCCAGAGATCATTTGTGGGTTTGCCTAATGCAAGCCCCCAGGGATATATGTTCCAGGCTGTGGACCCCGGGTTTAGGGTGGGTATAGGGTTAGTGTAGGGTTGGCTTGGGGTTGGTTTAGGGTGGGTATAGGTTTAGTTTAGGGTTGGTTTAGGGTTGGTTTACAGCGGGTTTAGGTGGGTGTTGGGTTGGTTTGGGTTGGCTTAGGGTTGGTTTATGGTTGATTTAGGGTTGGTTTAGGGTTCGGGTTAAGGGTTAGGGGTGAGGATTGGTTTAGGGTTGGTTGTGGGTTGAGTTGTACGTGTCGGGATGCAAGGCTGCGAGTTCAGGGGCTCGAGGGGGTCTAGGGACCGCAGCGGGGTGGGATCCGGGTGCTCCAGGGTTGGGGCGGGGTGCGGACCCTACCCTTGGCATTTTTTTTGGGGAGGGGGGCGTTGGTGGCCTGGGGACCTGCAGGGACTGGAACATATATACAATGTCGCGATATGCATGAGAGGCCTTTGGATCCAATGCTCATGCATCTGCGTGTTGCAGATACAAAGCAACAGCAAATGAGGTCTTGGGCAATCAAACACTTCAGCAATCCCTCGAGAAACAACCGGAGGTCATCACCAGGCATCAAGCTCAACTTTGAAAATAGGGTTGGACGCAGGCGCCCGAAAACAATGCGGCAAAAAGAAGGACCAACTTACTGCACTCGGACATAGCTTCCACGCTCACAATCGGTTCGATTGTGGGCGCGGCTTAGCGCCTCTTTTGTCAAGGCGCTAAGCCTTTCATGTTGCAACCCCGGCAGGGCAAGGCTCCTTCTCCTCCTTGTAGTGCAGCCACGGGTCCTGGACGGCCTCTCCCACTTCCCCTCCCTGAAGCGGAACGCCAGGCTTCGCTCGAGATACGGAGTGTGGAGCTTGAGCAAGGGAAGGGAACAGGTGAAAGAACACTCTGCTGCACCTGACCTTTCCCACACAAGGAAACGTTGGATATACTATTTGTATATATATATATATGTTACATATGTATACATACACATAGGGACAGAGACAACCGGAAGCCAAGTGCAAAAGCCATTCAAGCTTTCTGCTTCAGAAACTCGACATCCAGTGCGTCCTTTCTATGACCGTTCATTTCAATTTGATGACACCGGTGCCAGTCCTTTGACACCAACACACAACAGGCGGCGAGGGCCTGAACGTCCGGCTGCTTCTCCTCAGAGGCCGTTTCGGCACCAAATGTTGCCTGTCACATGTTACGGATGCCTCATATCCTTTGCACGGAGAAAAACAAACACACTTTGGTATGCTGGGGCATTTTAAGGCTTCTCATTGGCCCACAAGACTTGAAATTAACAGATCAAACCATTTTGGGGCCTTGAGTTGCACCAAACTGTCAGCAAACGAGGTGACTTGCCCGAGGCAGGGACAAGCTCTCTTGACGCCGAACCGCGCATATCATAAACCTGTGGGCAACCATTAGCAATTGAACACAGCCACTGCTGCAATTGAATTTGTCAAAACGATTGCCATCAATGAGAGAGCATGAAAAACAGTGAGATCCATTGGTCGGGGTGTGTCTCTGCAAGCCTGAATCATTTAGTGGTGAAAATCATGGTTTTTGTTTGTGTGTTTTTTCCTGAATGGAGATCCCATGTAAAGCAACAGGCTGACAGATGAACGCGCATCGCTCGAACTGGCCTCTGGCTCCTCCCTGTATGCAGTTGCCGGCGAGGGTGCAGGCAAGGGTGCAGGCAGCGGTTCAGGCACTGGCTCCTGTGCCGACGAATGGCCGTGAAACCAAGTCACGTCAACAAGTTCCGCACTCAGAATATATGGATCTAGTGAATGTTGCCCTCTCTCAGACTGATGGCGGCGAGGCTGCGCTGCAGGATTAAACTGCGCAGTTCGAATTTGTTGCTTTGGGGGGGGGGGGAGGTTGGCCACAATTGGCCACGTTGTCGATGCGATTGATTTTTGCTGGGTGTTTGGTAGTTGTTGGGTGGGTTTGGGGAGGGTGTTGGGCTTGTTTGGTGGAGCTGGGGATGAAGTGGTTTTAGGGTGGTTGGATTGGTTGTGGGTGGATTTGCAGTAGAATTGGTTGGGAAGGGGCTTTGGTGTAACTCAACTGCTTTGCACAAATAAAGGCTCGTGATATTTTAGGGCAATGGCGAAAAGTTGGCAGCGGCAGGCAGCAACAACAAGAATTACTCTTAGGAGGCTTAATTGGAGATATACTCTCACATACGGAACTCGTTCTGTGCAAGTTCTCTTGGATAGCTCCGTGGATTTCGAAGTTGAGGGAGCCAAATACGATTGCCGCACTCCGATATGCGCGCCTTTCCACAAGCAGTAATAGGCCGAGGCTTGCCAAGGCTGATAGCAAGCCTTAAGGCAACAGCTTTGAACAAGTCCAATCTGCTGCTTTCCGGCTGATTTGGGGTGAGCGCTGGTTGGACAGCCAGCCAAAAGCGCAAAAGTCAAAGCCGCAAAAGCCCAAGAAGCCAAAAGCCGAGCAAATAACGACACTTAAGATTGCCGCTGGGAGGCAGAGATTGGAAACATCAAAATAATTATTTAGTGAATATTAGCAAATGAAATAGTGAATGGGAATAGTGAATTAAAACAATTGCGAATGGAAATAGTGAATGGGAATAGTGAATGGGAATAGTGAATGGACATACGCCTACATGGCGAGGTGACTAGGAAAAAGCAAAAAACACTAACCTGCATTACATTTCACTAAATTTGACTAAATTCACTAAATTTCACTAAATTTCACTAAATTTTGCAAATCCAATTTAGTGAAAATTAGTGAAAATTAGTGAAATTTAGTGAAATTTAGCGAAACTAATTAAATTCAATGAAATTTTACAAAAGATTCACTAAATTTCACTAAATTTCACTAAATTTCGCTAAATTTCACTAAATTTCACTAAATTTCGCAAATCCAATTTA